CTGTTATGCAGTGACTTAAAACTGATGTATTGCGACTTGGTGGCCACTTTAGATTGATGGTCAAAGACTGACTCTCTGAGGGGCTGCCACTTGAACTGCAACTTGAATGACAAGGAGGCTAGTCATTTAAAGATGGGAACAGGGTGAATGGGAGACCGTTTTAGGCTGAAGTTCTGGCTAAGACATAGCCCCTCATGTGGTGGGAAAGGACTTGAGGTGTTTGAGGAACTGAAAGAAGATCAGTGTGGTGTGTTTATAATGGGTGAGAGGGGTAGAGCTGTGAGGGAGATAAGATCAAGTTGAAGAGCGAGACAGCTTTTATGGCCCAGATAACAAATTTAGATTTTATTCTAAAGCCTGTGGAAAATGTAAAACGGGAATGTTGGGTGAATATTCTATAAATATCAAGTAGATCAAAGTGGCTGATGTGATAGATTGTCTACATCTTTACTAATTTTATACATAGTTCTGTCAATTGCTGAGAGAAGGGTGTTAAAATCTGCAACTCCTGATGTAAAATTTTCTGTTTTTTTAATTGTCATTTTTTTCATATATTTTGAAGCTCTGTTATTAGATGCATATACATTTATGATTGTTATTTTTTTTATATGAAATGTCCCTCTTTATTGCTGGTAATATTTTTTTTGTCTTTAAAATGACTTCACAAATGATATTAATATAGCCACCTCAGTCTCCTTATGCTTATTGTTTCCATGATATATCTTTTACCATCCACTTTCAATCACTGTTTTTATACGTAACATATATTTCTTTTAGACAGATATAAAACTGTCTTGTTCACCCCACCCTCATTCGTGACAGTCTGCATTTTAGTGGAGTAATCATAGATACTGTGTTTGCCTTTTGTGGGGTTTGCTGAGTTTCTTGAATCTATAAATTTATATCTTTCACTAAATCTGGTAAAATTTGGACCATTATTTCTTAAAACATTTTTTCCTATCTCAGTCTCTCTTTCTCCTTCTTCTGGGACTTCAGTTATATCTATGTGTGATTTTTGGATATTATCCTAAATATTACTGATGTCCTTTTTTCTTTCTGTTGTTCAGATTAGGTAATTTCTATGGATCCGTCTTCAAATTCATTGACTCTTTCTTTTGGCATCTCTAGTTTGCTATTACATCCATCCGTTGAATTTTTAATTTAAGATATTGTGTTTTTTTAGTTCTAAAATTTTCATTTGGTTCTTTACATAGTTAATATTTTCCTGCTGCTATTTCTTGTCGTTTTATTCATTACATGCATATTTTCTGTTATGTCTTGAGTACAGTAATACTAACTGCATTAAATCCTAATAATAGCTGCATTAATTCCAACATCAGAGTCATCTTGAGTTGGTCTTCATTTGTGGTCTGTTCTCTTGCATGTGGGCCACTTTTTCCTGTTTTTTCATAGGTAGAATAATTTCAGATTGTAGCTTGTACATTGTGGGTAATATATTCTAAACTCTGTTTGCTTCTCCAAAGGGTGTTGATTTTTTGTTTTAGTGGTTAACTTGGCTTACTCGAGCTTCAAGCCCTATCTTCTCCTACAATGGGTAGCCACTGAATCTTGTTTCGTTTCTTTTTAGCCTTAGCTGGACTGCTTCATGTCAGCCATGCTCACCTGTCATCATGGAGCCCAACAGAAATTTTGACAGAGTTTACACACAGGGTTTCGGAGCTCCCCCTCTTGCTCTTTATTTTCAGGAATGTGCTGTCTTACTTTCCAGCTTCTGTGTGATGCCCCTTCTCCATTATCTGTGTACTTTTGGTCACTCCAGTGCTCCAGCGTAGTTGGATATTACAGATGTCCAGAATTTACTTTTTTTTCCCCCTCAGGAGAATTGTTCTATTAGCAGCTAGTTGGCTATTACCTGAAGCAGAGCCTGGGTTTGTGATATATTCTGAGTATGAAGCCACCATGATTAGCTGATGGATTGGAGATAGGAGGTAGTGGGGGGCGTGAGCAAAAGTGCAGAATCAATGATGATTATTTCTTTTTGGTTTAAGCAATTAGGAGTATGGTTTGACTCATTTTTGTGAGAAAGAAGACTAGGGGAAGAGCATCTTTGGCTGGGGTAGAGAGGATGTAGAAATGTCCAAACAGGTAGTTAGGTACTTAGAATTGGAGCTCAGGGGGAGGAGTGGGCCCTAGAGGTCCAGACTTAGTCACCGGAATACAGTTGGTGTTGAAACAAACTGGGACTGAATAGCTTAACCTAAGGAGAATCATGCTCTGAGGTCCTTCAGTATTTACGAGTCAAGCAGAGGAGAAAGATCTACCAAGGGAGACAGGACGAGGAGCCAGTGGCAAACCTCTGTACAGTGTCCATCACAGAGGTCAGAAAAGAAGGCTTCAAAGACAGGAATGGCAAGTGAGCTGAATACTGCTGAGAAGTCAGTGAGGTTAAGCACAGAAGAGAGACCTTTAACTGGGCAAGGCAGGGGCCATAAGTGATGGAATTAGACCATCCTCCAGGAATGGTAGTGGGACAAACGGGAGGCGAGAAAGTGGAGAGCGTGACAGCTGCGGACACAAAGCGCTTGCTTGTAGGGTTCTGGGTAGTTAGGCTGCATGTGTACTGTGAGCTTTGTAAAGCAGAAGGGGTGACATGATGAGAGAATGTTTATCATTGATGATGATTCTTCTGTTCTGCTATAGGGGAGACTTTTCACCATGAACCCAGGCCTCTGCCTGCTCAGGTTCCCAGGACAACCTAACCACCAGAATTAGAGGTGGCATTTTTTTATGTGTATGCCACAATAAGGACATCCCATCTAGAGCTAATAGATAGTTGACTGCACATTCTTTAATTGGTGGTCTTCCTGATACTATAAAGTGAATTTTGAATGACAGCCGCGGACACTTGAGGCTCTTACTTTGTCTACTAAGTGTTACCTTTTCTGTTGCTCAAGTTGGAGTTTAGGAGGCACAAGGCTCTTAATAAAGCCAGGATTGTGGTTCAGAGTATGATTGGCCCAAGAAACTAGAATTTTCTGTATAGCCAGATTATGACAGCTCATGGAAAACTTCCATAGAATCAGCATTTGTTTAACCAGGTGTCGACCTACTTTATAGGGCCCTGAAACAGACTTCTGTTTCGTTATATTTGTTTTCAATGATAACCATTCCATGAAGGCTCCATATCCCTTGAATTTGTTCAAATGTTTAAGCAGTAACATTGGCCTTTGGTTCCCTAACAGTCTACCTGTTTTACCCTAGTGTTCCGGCATGAACTTGTGGGCCTGCCTCAAACAAAACAACAAAAGAAATCAGCTAAGCCAGAACCCTGTTTATTTCCTGACTCTCGTTTGGATTTCGGTGTCCCACACTGTGGCTTTGTGGCCACGGCAGTGCCATCTGGCCTGCTGTTTGAACTCTTTAGACCTGCTCTCCCGAATTAATGTAGGGTGCTTAAGCCCAGGTCCTTTGGTTACGCCGACATTGATAGATTGCTTCTTCATTAAAACAGCCATTTCCTCTTGGATGAGGTATCAACCTACCCCTCTCTGCCTGTATGTCAGTTTTTATCTGTTCCAAGAAGACTATTCAAAGCCCTGGCAGCTCCAGACTTGTGAATCTCAGCCATCTCAGGGTAACTAACACTGGTGATATTTCAGGGTGATATTTCAAGATGATCCCAGTAATTTCTCAGTATGTGAACCAGCTAGCTCTCGTGTGGGACCTCCCATATTCCCCTTGCTGCCCTTTATCAGAAATTCTTATAGGATTTACCGATTTTAATTTCAAAACTGTCAACACCCAGACTGTAAAGAAAAATGGTAACTTTTATTTCTCTTCAGTTTATACTCTCTCCCATGGGAGTCATTAGCCCCACCTTTTATTATATGGAATACAGAGCTCTCAGGGACTATGAAAGTCAGTAGAACAACTGGCTACCTGTGGGAACAATTTCTTCCCCCCCAAAATAAGTCATACATAATAATTAAGTCATTACGTTGAAGATCTTTGCTATAGTCTTCCTACTAGCTCCATATTTCATCTGTGTTTTCCTTCTCTTTTTGTCTTTTGGATTAAAAGTATTTTTGTAAATAAACAAAACCACTTCCCTGATCTAGGAGCTTCTGTTATCAGGTTAGAGCGATTGGGGCCATTTCCACACAAGGCAAATACTGGGTTGTTGGAAAAGTTATGACATATTTTTTCTATGTTTCTTGTTGCAAAAATGTGTCATGACTTTTCCGACAACCCAATATTTGTAAAGAAGGTTTTATTATTGGGCCCATCTTAACACCAGCCAGGTTACCTTCCCTAAGTAAGCAAAGTAGACTGTTTGAAGTAAGCTTTCTGTTAATACTTTGACAGTGTAGATGAGGTTCCAGCCTGAAACACCAGTGCTTTTATCTATGGGGTAATGCCTTTCCAAAATATTTAGTTGACTTTTAAAAATCTCTTTGCAGGAGTCCTGACAATGTTTGTTTTTTTTTTTTCTCCTGTTAGTTTTATAACCCTGTAGTTGAGTGAGAACGAGCCCCATCATAACTCTTAGAACTGAATTACAGCCAAATTTAAATTATTTGTGCTTTGGAAAGGAGAATTGGCAAGGCTGAATGGTCCATGGCTGATCCTACTGTAAGATAATTGTAACCATGGCAGGATTTGTTTCCTAATATTGTGTTTCTAAATTTAAGTGATGAGGTTCGTCATAGGAAAAAATCCATTTGTAGATTTCATGTTGAATTTAAATTTTTCCAACTTCATTATTACAAATTAGAAGTAGTTATTTCCTGTGGAATGGCTGGTTCCATTAATTTGCATGATTGTGTGTGGAAGTGGCTTCTACCAAGACTAGTAATATATTTTAATTAATTAAGTTTCTAGGAAGACATACCAAACAATAACTTTTATTTTTTAAAAATTTTTATTTATGTATTTTTAAAAAGATTTTTATTAAAATATAGCTAACATACAATATTATATTAGTTTCAGGTGTGCACCATAATTATGCAATGTTTAACAGTAACTTTTAAATTGTCTAGATAAAAGAATATGAAAAGATTGATAATGAGGAAGATCGCATTCGTAGAAGTCGACAAATTTATGATACCTATATCATGAAAGAGCTGCTATCTTGTTCACATGTGAGTATTTCTTTTTGTTCTGTTACTTTAGTATAGATATATTTGAGACAACCTTCAGTGTTTCCAGAACAAAAGTAAAATAGAGGAAGTTGTTTAAAAATTAAACAATACTCATCCAGGATGGAACCCACTTCTCCTGTTTGTCATTTGTTTCCTGATAATTCTGATAAAATATCTGTTGCTCCATATACTCTTATTGTGTTTCCAAAAGCAGATACTGTCACTGCAAAAATTGGTAAAATAAAGTCGCTAATTCAGGCCACTGGAAGAAAGGGCTAATCTCAAGTTAGACTTTCTCAAGGAACTTGAGCTTTATTATTTTAATTCAGCTATACTGTAACAATTAGACTAATCAGATATTGATAAATATAAACCTTAAGTGGTTTCTTTGAATTAATATGGAAGATTGTAATTATTATGTTGTGTTCATTAATTGTTAAATAATGGTTGAAATATTTTCTTTTTCTTGTAAATCAGAGAAACAGTTCTATTTGGTCATTAGAATAAGCTAGGTTCTTAGGAAATTATTCCACCAGGAGTGAGTGGAATAATTAGTAATAAAAATTAGCCATGTAATCTCTACATTAAGACTGTTTTCCAAAGGCGTGGCCTAAAAGTCCTGGCCTGCTGTGTCCGGTACAGTAACCACTAGCCACGTGGGGCTGCTTACATTAATTAAAATCAGAGGGAATTTAAAATTTAATTCCCGACTTCCTCATGAGCCACATTTCAAGTGCTTGGTAGCCACATGTGGCTTAGCAGCTCTTGTGTCAGGCAGCTCAGATACACAACGTACTGTCATCACAGAAAGTTCGATGGGACAGCACTGGGCACGATAATGATGTGTTTTAGTGCTTCTTACTTATTGTGTCGTTGGCAGCTCTTACTGACATTTGAATAAATGAGGTGGCTGAAGACGACACCTCTTGTAGCATAGTTGCGTTACTGTTCTTTGGACCCACCTACCTTGTAGTAGAAAGAATTTCTGAGCTAGAGCTAATCCTCAGTACCCGGCGCCTTGGCCGGGGAGCAGTAGAACCTTGGAAAATGCCAGGTGTTCAGTGCGAAAGCCTCTGGAAACTTAGTTTCCACGTAGGTCAGCAGTGTAGAGGGTTTTTAGCAGTGTGATACGCTTTTTCAGCTTTTCTTCTTATTGTGCATTATTGAAGGAGACATAATTTGAAGTTTTGGGGGAGGAGAGAGTTTGTAATTCTTGTCAGCGTAGGTTCTATTCTTTTATAACCAGTTCCCCCTCTGTTGTGGTTGCACTAAGACTGACTTCCCTTAACCTAGAAACTTTTACTACCCTGGTTTAGCTCTGTAATCCTGGCATCTAATTCTTAGGTGTGTTTTCATGCGTTTTTTTTTCACTTATATAGAAATTTTAATTTTTTAGAAATTTTACATTTTTTAGGACCCCGTTATCAGCTAATTGAGGGGTGTATGCGGTAAATAAGGTGATGATAAGATTCTTTACTTTTTTATCACAGTAACCTTGAACTCTTGTGGGATTAGATATGTCAGCTACCCCACGCTCACCATTCTTGTAAGAATGTGTCTGTAAGAACTCTGGAAGCTCAGAGGAGCAAGCATTTGTTCAGATTGCCCACAAATATCCAACAGAACTTTAAAGAATGCATGTTAATATAATTACCACCGGTTACTGTTTAGTAATCGTTGTGTTAAATTCTATGTTGTGATATTGTATAGCATACAGAGGTTTATTATGTTTTATAATTGTTGAAAAAATATTGCTTTTGATTTTTAAAAGCCATTCTCAAAACAAGCGGTAGAACACGTGCAAAGTCATGTATCCAAGAATCAAGTAACATCCACTCTTTTTCAGGTAAGATAAGATTATTTCCAAATAAATATATTTCATTTGCTTAACAGTTGGACTTGGTGGCATTGTCTTTGCCTGTGTGTAGGTTCTAGAGGACTTGATCTAGGTAAGACTGTACTGGAACAATTGAAGTTTAATGTTGCCTGTCATCTCGTTGAAAGTTGCTCTTATATCAACATCCTTCATAATTCCTTTCCCGAAAAAGATCACTAGAGCTTTCTAGTAACATTATTTTCAATCAATCAGTGAAGACGAAGCATCGGAGGACAAGGCGTTTTCCCATTTGACATCCCAGGCACCCCTGATAGGCGGGGACTTCACGAGGTTTGTTTTGTGGCGGTAGGCAGGTGTCGATTCTCCCGGTGATCATCACCCATAGATGACACAGAGTTGTTCCCGAGAATCAAGAGTGAATGCTTAGAGGAACTGGATTTTTACCTTGGCTCCTCAGGTCTCGAGCACAACACGGCCAACGGGTTGAAGTGACAAGACTTGGCAAGCTCAGTCCACACAACTCAGGGGCCTGTGTATTTGCTGCTCTTTTGACATACTGGGTTCCCCTCCTTCCAAAGCCCTTTCCAGCCTGTGTGTTTTCTGTAGAGGTAGCAACTTGTAAGGACACGGTTACAGTTTCAAATGGATAATGTACTTCTTATGTTTCTGAATGATAAGAGATATGAAAAAAATGCCATTAAATAATGTAATGATTTTTATAAATGGAAGAATTAATTTACCCTTTTTGGATTATCCAGGTATACTTACAGTGAGACAAGTTGATTTTGATGTTGGTGCCTCATGATAGGATTTATTTATGCAAAATGAATTTGATTATTCTACGTAGAGGAAATATAAATTTGTCTCTTAGAACA